CTCTCTCTCTCTCTCTCTCTCTCTCTCTCTCTCTCTCTCTCTCTCTCTCTCCCTCCCTCCCTCTGTTTCCCTCCCTCTGTTTCTCCCTCCCTCTCTCCCTCTCTCTCTCTTTCTCTCTCACCAGCTGTCAGGGAAGGATCATCCTCACTTCCTGTCACAGATCCACCTCTGCTGGAGAGCTGGGGCCACTGTGTGAGCATCTCCAAAGTGTTCAATGAGCCTTTCCTCTTGTGGCCAGCCTGGGTCTTGCTCTCTCCTACTCTTCATTTTTATTTGTTGCTCACAGTTAAAGAGGTGAGGAGCGAACAACCTCATAGTGAAGCCAAATGGCACCCCGTATTCCTGTCCTTACCAACACAGTGCAGGGAAGGTCTAGCAGTTTGCAAGCACACAGCTGAGGATCTTCAGTAGATTTTTTTAATGTTCTCATGCAATGTGGAATTTTTCAGGGGAAATGTGCAGAGAGACAAAGATGTTATGATCGAAGGCACAACAGAGAGAGCTGTAGCCCTTACTTTGGTTTCAGGCTCAAATAACATCACAGGCCAACACATAAAATAACTCCTGCAGGGATTATAAAGATGAAATCGAATAAACAAGAGTCCTGGGATGTTTTAATGTACCAATTTTAACACAGATTTTCACATTTGCTAAGTATATAAAAATGAAGATGTAAAGGATCCGGCGAACACCAGTCTTTAGTTTAGACTATTTCAGAATAATACTTGAGGGTCTGTACAGCAATTCATCATTATTTCAATTACAAAAAAGAAAAAAATGTCAATTCCAACACTTCCCCATAAAACACACCTCTCTGTTTAGCCTGTGGAGACCCACACAGGGGATCAGCATGCACCATCCCTGTTGTCAGGCAGCTCTGCCTCTGCCATCACCATCTTCCAAACAGGGAAACTGCAGTCCCAGGCTCTGTGTGTTGTTGCAGAGATGACAACACGACACATAAATGCTTGGGAGAACCCCCATAGGCAGCAAACTTACAGCAACTATTAGCTGTTATTGTGACTGTCGTTCCTTCTACCACATAGCCCGGTGGTTTAAAATAACATTTAAAAAGAAAGGGCAGGGGTGTGGCTCAGTGGTAGAGTTCGTGCTTAGCTTGTGCAAGGCCGTGGGCTCAACATTCATCACAGAAAGTGTGTGTGTGTGTGTGTGTGTGTGTGTGTGTGTGTATTTTAATCTGATTTTGTTTTTAATTGAATATTAAGGTCACATACAAATTTGACAACTTCCCCACTTTAATCCTTCTGATAAGCTGATAAAAAGCACCACTACCAATCACACATACAACAGTAGTTTCAATCTTGTGTTTTTAAATAGCTGTTTAAATATTATCCTGAATAATAATTCAGTCTGACTTAAAGAATTCAGAAGTAAAATCTAACTTGCTATTGTATCATGCTGACTTTTAAAAGGACCTGAACTTATAGATCAACTATAAAACATGAGAAGTGTTAAATATTCTTTATTTGGTATTATACATATGCCACCAAAATGCCTTTCATTAACTAAAATGCAGTATTTTTTAGATACAGGGAATTCTAGTTAAATTGGCATAGTCAAGACCAAAAATATAAACACTCCTTCCTTGTCTTCAACCACTGCCTTTAACAGGCTAAGAAACACAAATTGAAATGGGAGTCTTGCTTGGTTCTGAGACAATGAAGGATTTCCCCGGTGTTTAAATATATTCGCATAATCAGTTAAATAAATCTAAATATAAAAACAACCTTCAGTAAGTTTTGAGATAGAATTTCCATCTTTGCGAAAAATCAAACATTACTAATCAAGTCCAACCATATATTTACAAAGAGAAAACAGTGATGGTATTTACTGAACTAGAATTACTATCAAAACTTGAACAAAAGATATCCATTTAATTACAAGCCAATTTTACTTAAATCAGAACTATCCAACAAAAATATTCTGTCAGCCACTCGTGGTCTGAATTCTGGTGTATGAGATCTATTAAATTATGGTACGCATAAAAAAGCCATGAGACATTTCTATTTTGTAATAAATAAGGCAGTGACTATTACTCATTAGTAGCTTTTTTGAGGTAAGCTATTAAGTCCGCCCTTTCTCCCTTCTTTTTAATGCCAGCAAAGATCATTTTTGTTTCAGGGATGTACTTCTTGGGATTCTCCAAGTGCTCCATCAATGTATCCTCCCCGCAGGTGACAGCTTTGTTCTTGCTGGCATCCTTGTAAGAGAATCCAACAGCTTGACTTGTCTTCCGCCCACACAGACCATGATTTGGGCCAGTCTTGCCTCCCTCCTCCACAGTGTGGCACTGGGCACACTTCTGTACAAAAATCTTCTTGCCTTTCTCAATATCACCCATTTTTAAATCTGCTGTGGCTTCTGTGTCCAGTGTCCTCCACTCTTTCATTGTTACCACAAAGAAGGTCCCAGCTCAGAAGCCAAATGTCCTGCTCTTTCTGTGTGCATTTGTGTTTAAAAGAAACCAATTCAAAGGAAGAAGCACTCTGAGATACTCTTAAATTCATGGCCATAAGTAAGGGGAATGAATGGAAGTGAAAGAAACTTAGAGACACTAATTCTCACTTTGTGTTAACCCAAAGCACCACAGAGGTGGAAGGGAAAGCCCAACTCATCCTGTAGTATTACCTGGAATTCCAAGCTCAGGAGAGCTCTGGAGTCAGTTGATCCTGGGAATCTCCCAGGTCACAGAGCTCTACACCTCCTTCTTTCTGCCATGGAGTCAGCTCCATCTACTCAAGACTGGAATGTGGTTCCTTGTATAACTTTGACTCTGTGATTCCTCAATGCCAAACTGGTTGCCTCACAATCCTAACTTTCGGCCCCCTTCCCAGGAAGCACAGTGGGGACTGCCTGACCATGGGGGACCACCTGGCTTCCACAGTAAGACCTGGGACAGTTCTCAGCTTCCTCCCAAGTCGGACAGTAACAGAAATAGGAGAAATTCAGGAGAATGTGTGAGTGAGAATAAATGTGCTGAACCCCTGCATGGGTTCCACACTACCGCTGGATAGTTCCTTCATGGCATCCACTATACATGGACTTCAAGAAAAACCAGCTGTGTGAGTGCAGTGGCTCAGTTCTGCCCAAAGCAGACCAGGGTGCTGCTCTGTCAGATCCCATTTGCTGATCTAATCAAGTGTCCTCTGGAAACTCTGGGGTTCTTGCGGGATCCCTCTCAGCCTAGGTTTTCTGTGCCAAAGCGATGACAAGCAGGCTGACTGCTGCGTGGACCCATGATGGAGATAGCCCAGAACCAGAACTCAGAACAACGAGACTCAGAAGGCCTGGTGGCTAACCCGGCCAGGCTCAGCTCCATCCACCTACTTCCCCAAACAGAGTCCTGACTTCATAAATCACCCAGCACACTGAATTCATCCAAACTCCTGACAAAACATTCTTCCCAATTCTGGTTTATTTCCAAAGGTGAAAGAGTCTAAATTATAAAATATTGAAATGTCTCAATGAAAGTAAACAAGGGAGAATTGGGTGAAGTATCATGGAAGTTTATAAAATCTCCTTCACAGAATGAAGAAGTCCCAAGAGCACTTGGTTTAAGTTAATAACTTATGCTGTGATGAAAACACCCTTTGTGCGCGTCCTCCAGTGACCCCACATCACAAGGTCATAATGTGACTGTGTGTGTCATGTAACTGGGGGCCATGCACACCCTTCCTGCAGGCTGAGAGCTCGAAATGACCTGCAGCTTGAAATCAGAGGCCTCCTAGAGCCTCAGGAACCTTTAACTCCATTTCTACCACGGAGTGAAGAGCACTGTGAGGCGGCACCTGTACCTTTACAATCCTGTACATACACAGAAGTCCCCAAGTAACAAGATGCTGGAGACAGAGTGGGGTATTTCTCAGCCAGATAGGCAGAACCTCTCGTAGAATAAGAGTCTGGGGAATGGTAGCTGACTCCTGTAACTGTTCACTCCCTAGGGTCACGGAGACACTGGCACCTGTCTACATCACCAGACACTGCCCTCAGGGAGGCCCTGGGGGAAAGGTTTCACATCTTCTCGGGTTTCTTGACAGTCTCTAAGATCACCCAGGTGCGCTTTTTCCCCTTAGTTACACAGATTTGCGTGTGGAGCCACCTCTGCATCGCTAGGATCCAGATCCACTGTTGCTAACAGGAAGCTCCACCTGGGAGCATTGCTGGCATGAGCTGTTCACATGTGAACTGGGATCACTGCACCTTTGTTTTGGGGTAAAATTAACCTATACACTTCTTTTCATATTCTTTTTTTCAGTGTGGGATCAGGGTTATGTACAGAAAAAGATAGGGATTGTTTTGTTTGGGTATTTCGGGGGCTTTGGAGGAGCTATGTTCCAGAACAAACAAATAATAAATTATCAGTTCCCTTAAAATTAACAACTTTTTAATAGGTGACTGTGTTAGGGAGAATTCTGTTACTGTGACAAAATATCTGAGAAAATCAACTTAAAGGAGGAGAGGTTTTCCTTAGCTCACAGTCTCAGAGATTTTGGTCCATGGTCCCTGGCCCACTTCTCCTTGGGCCTATGGTGGCACAGCAGGCTCATGACAGCTGGAGTAAGTGGCCAAGGAAGCTGCTTGCATTGTAGTGGCCAGGAAGGGATGAGCTACCTGCTAAATGCCTCTCCATTATGGTTCATGGTTACTTGATAACACTGACCTTACCTCCTACTCATCACAACCTCCACCACCCCGAAAGAAGTGAGAGTGAACCCCAGGCTCCAAAGTCAGACAACACCTCCCTGACCCCAACCCTTCAGATATAGATTCCCAGAATACAGTGGTCCCAATATCAAAAGCCTGAGCTTGCACTGAGCCTGGGCTGGAACAGGAAAATGGGAAGGAGGTCCCTGCGACTTCCTCTGGAGTCCATCCTAGAGGAAACAGAAAGCCACTGGAGGTGTGGCAAGGGAGGAGGCAAATTAATGCCAGGCTGACAAGAGGGACAGTATCACATGTTTGGAGAAGATGAAAAGTTTTCTGGTTTTCCAGGAGTATATGCTAAATGTGACAATTAAGGAAGATGGGAGACAGCTTTCCTGCCAAAAAGGATCTCTGCTGAGACATCTGGACCCTCTCTGGAGGATAGATCTCACATAACCCTGTCCCCAGCATCCTTGCCGGCTCTATAACCCTTTGACCTGCCAGGCTGCCATGGGCAGGCCATGTGTTACTCTTTCCACGTACTGCTGAAGAGGAAGAAACATGCATTAGTATCTTAGTCACTTTCTTTGTCACTGGGACATATAACCAATACATACAATTTAAAGGAGAGAGTTTATTTTGGTTCACATTTCAGTCCAGGGTCAGTGGCTCCAAAGAAGAAACAGCAGAGAGGCCTTACCAAGGAAAGCTGCTCGCGGCATGGCAGACCAGAAGCTCAGAAAGAGTGAAGGGCAGAGCCAAGGAGGGAGATACAACCCTCCAGACCACAGCCCCAGTGAATTTCTCTTCCAACCAGACCCACCTCCTAACAGCAAGTCAGCTATGAGCTCATGATCCAGTCACCTTCCAGTCACCTTCCAAAACTCCCATCTCTGAGGCATGATATAGTTACAAACCACAACCGTCATTGCTTAGGACACAGACTGATTAATACATAAGCCGAAGAACACAGGCACACCATGAATATATTATATAAACATAACCGTGCAAAGACACAATAGACGTTTCTGTTCCAGTCATCCTAGTCACATGCTCACGTACTCCATCAAATACAAAATAATCTCCCTTTCATTCGAGTGGTCAAGATGTCATGGTTTTCATGCTAAACAACACTGGTTCTAATGCCATAAACACCTCCAAGGGGAAGGGCAGTGTGTGTTCTCCAACCCCGCTCTAGAAACCATCACTCAGGTAGCCAGAGGAGTTGCCCAGTCTTGAAAAGCAGTCTCCATCATGATTCAGCCATGATGACACTCTCAGTGGGTGGATTTACAAGGTTCACAGAGGGCCTTTTCATACATGACCTCCAGGTTTGGTTTGGTTTGGTTTGGCTGTCATTTTATTTTGTTTAGACAGGATCTCACTAAGTTGCCCAGGCTGGCCTTGGACTTGTAATACTTCTTCATGAACCTCACAAGAAGCTGGGACTGCAGACATGTTCCACCACGCTGGATCTTCGTAACCCCTGAATAAAGGTCCAAGTGTGAGTTCATGGGACTGGTAAGAAAAATCAAGTTCCAAGAGCTTTGTCTCTCACCTAAAGCAGCTCATTTATGTAGCCCAGACTAGAGTCTACTAAAACAATACCCAACCTTTGCTAGGTCATTTGCAAGGGGAGGAAGGGCTAGAATTCTAAAGAATCCTCAGTTCTTGGGCACACTTGCCTCTCAAGGATTCATTTGTCTTTATTCACTCAAAAAATACCCGCAGAGAACCTGCTACATGCAAATGATCAAGGCACTTGTCTTACACACATCCAGGAGCCAAGCAGGCCAGGCGTCACAGAGTTTGCATTCTCAAAACAGAAAGTAGCTATTTGGTGTAGTGATGCACACCTGTAATGCTAGCACTCAGGAGACTGAGGCAGGAGGATCACCATGAGTTCGAGGCTAGCCTGGAATATATACTGAAATCAAGGCTAATCTGAACCATATAATGACACCCTGTCTGAAATAAATTAAATTAAATCAAATAAATAAAAAGCAGGAAGCGACCAAGAGCAGAAGGTAAATTCAACCCAGCTATTCTCCTTCTGAAAGAATTAAAAACATACTGTCACAGTGATCCATGCATAGCTATGTTATAGCAGCACAACTCATAATAACTAAATCTTGGAAGCAGCCTACATGGCCATTAGATGAATAGAACCAAAGATGTGGTATTATCAATACAACAGAGTACTATTCTGCTATAAATAAGGATATATTTAAGCCATTTGTAGGGAAAAAAAATGGATGAACCATGAAAACATACTATTGAGTGAAATAAGTCAGAAACATGAGATTAAATACTGTATGGTTTCTTTCATATGAGAAATACAAACAAAAAGCAAAATAAAACATACATAAAAGTAAATAGGCAAGAAAATCATTTGCACTGGGAAGAAAACCATGAAATGGAGGGAGGGCAAAGAGGGAAAGGGAAGGGAATTAAAAAGAACTAAGATATGTCATGTACATGTACCAAATACCCACAATGAAAGTAATCGTCATTTATCGCAAATGTGCAAATATATGCATTCTTTTAAAAGAGCAGTATGTGATGAACAAGCAAACCAAGCGCTGTGTGAGAGGGGATGAGTGAGAATGCAGCAGAGGTGTGTTACCCAGAGTTCCCTGCTTGAGTCTCCTCAGTGATGGGGTCCCCATAGCCAAGGGCTTGCAGAGAAAGGCCTGAGGAAAGACTGCAATGGGGCTTCAGCACAGGTCAGTGAGGCCAGAGAAATCGGGGACTGCAGACCACAGGGCCTTTGCTCTCTGTGAGCTGAGGGGTGAGAGATT